AAAAAGAAGAAAAATGTTACCTCATTTTCATACACTAGAAAAACTTTGAAATTGCTATCAGTTCTCAAGCTTGGATGTGCTGCAATTCTGCATAAGAAAATCTCATGCATTGCCACTGTTTTCTTAAAAATCGCCAGATATTCCCTGTAAGAAATGATATATAAATTGACAACATATAATAATTAATAACATACACATCAAAACATTTATAATAATATTGAGATGTAATTACAACAATCCATAACTTTTGCATTCTGAAATATGTGAAACTAATGTTGTGGTAATGAATAAACCAGCTATGAGCAACCCTGGATATCGAATATTTAATGCAAATTGTGCACTACAATTTATTTTTAAATTTTGATATTCCAATATTGTTTTACGCCAAGCCTACCGGTATGTCCTGGACATTAAGATTATATCCAGTGAATATACAAAGTGGACCTGTTCATATTTTTGACGTTAGACAACCGCAGCATGCATCACAGCTTCCAAATACCGTTATATTTTGCATCTCGAAAGTTACCGTATGTATTAGATTTATGCGAAGCGTTTCATCATGTTAATGTACTCATAGAAACTTCTTGTTACTGAGTTCCAAATAAAGAAAACCTTAACATTTTGAATCCCACCACAGTATACACACTAGAAGTATGATTTGAAAAAATCCCAAAATCCTTTTAATTTTTTAAACAGGTAATAGGTATATAAAGAAAATTTTGATAGTGTATCGAATTTTGCCTTCACTTACGCTTCAAGTTCTTGCTTCATTCTTGTGAACTCTTCTTTTGTCATTGATCCTTCACCTTCGCTCAATTTTCCCAATTTCTCTCGAGATGCTTCAAAATCTGGCTTTGGAGGAGCAGGTGGAATCTAAGGATACATGATTAGGTTAGTATCGATATTTTTCCAGCAGCAATTCAATTTTAGTTCACACATTTTTTCGTATAGTGTTTGCATAAATCATTGTTTAGCATTAGTAAACAAATAGTGACATATACTTGCTGTATCTATGATTTACCTAAGACAAACTAATATATCAAATTCAAAAATATAATGCTTGAGTGTTAATATAGATATATTGTAGTGGTTATTAAAACTCTCCTCTATTTTTAACTGAATTTCACTAGCCTCAAAGACACTAAAAAAACACTTTAATTCAACTGAATAATGATAGATTTTGTATATGGTGCATGATAGGGAAATTTTAAATTGTTCAGTCATGAAAGGGTCAACACAAATAAGTTAGTCATACCAGGGAAAGTACATTCATATACCATGAGTGAATCTTCTTCAAAAAATTTATTGACAGTTTATTTCTCTAATACTAAGCAGGCATCTTTAAAAATGCTGTTGTTTCTTGATCAATTGAGTTTGAAGTTTAGTACTCAACAAATTTGAACAACGCAACTAAGGTAATTTGGTAATATAATCAATATTTTTATGATCTCTCTGAAAGTAGTTTTAATTATTCCACAATTCTAAATTAATCTAAATTGTCTAGTTTCTTTGCTCATTATTTTCAATAAGCTGATTTTCGTTCACTTTCTTGATGATGAAAAAAATGTTTACGAGCCAATTTATTTAAGATATACCAGTAAATATGAGTGTATAATAAAAATAAAGTCCATAATTGGGTAACCACATTGTACTTGGACAAACAACAGCGAATTTCGAGAAAGGTGACACTGACATCTATTATTATTTATTTATAAATTGAGAGGATATTCTATTAGTGAGTACAGATAGCCAAAACAGATATATCATTATTACAAATACATTCTAAAAATATTTTTGAATACATTCTAAATTGCGCCAGGTTTAACAAAGAAATTTGCTTTTTCCTTTACAAATTATCATAAGTTGAATGACTGAAGAACTATATTGGCCCTAATTTCCAGGTGTCAAATGATCAAGAGGACATATTTTAACATTAAATTATTCAGCTTCAATCAAAAAATAAATGAAGAATTTGCTATATCGAACATAAGTTCTGCAACTTCCGATGTATTTGAATATTTGATTGATTTTAGACATGCCTATTTGTGAGCATTTCAATTTATTTAAGTCGATACCATACAACATCAGCCCAGCAAGGTACCAATCGACCTACTAGATCGCAACCCATTTCCTGTCTGTTGTATTCTATTGCTTTGTAACAAACAATAAAGATTTGTCATGGTACCATTATCAATACATATAAAGACTCATTATCCAATTATGAAGTGATGTGGTAATGATTATAATCAATATACAAGACATTGTGCATTGACTTCTTCAAACAAATTTGGTAAAAGATAGTAAGATATTTATTCAAATGTCTATGAAAATGAATTCACAGCTGATATTACTGAGATTGAATATCACTTAACGATTAAAAATAATGGGCACTTAGCTAGCTGTATTGTTGCAATTTTATCTTATAAAATATCTTAATAATGATAAGTGCATTATAAGCCAATAATTACAATGAAAATGAAGTTATTTATGTACCATCCTATCATCCTGCAGGTTGAGTTAAATTTGTAACCAACATAAGGAAACTCTATCGAAAAGAGCCAAGTATTTGCTGGATTCTATATATGGAAAGCTGATAACTTAAATCCTGTTAGCCATTCGGCATAGTGGTTACATTGCTAGTACAAGTATAATGAGACCCAACATACTTTTCAATTCCACACATTATAATATCTAATATATTCTTAAACTGAAATATATTCTTCCCAGAGAAGAACACTAACAAATCCCTTTACTGAGCTATTTGTAGATAAGAGTCAATCAGTTAAAATTAGATAAATCATTTTATCCTACACGTTGTGCATAATTTCAAAATATAAAGATAGGAATATCATAGACCAGTGTTCTTCAACCTTTTTTATCGTGGTACACCTTTTACAATTTTTCAAGAACTTTGTATACCTCACAAATACCAATGTTTACTTAAGGCTTAAATAAACATCAAATTTCAAGCACATATTGTACTGCAACATCATCATGCAATCTAATAGGCTAGTGTCCGCAAGTTATAAATTTGACTGACGGCCTTAGCGTTAACGGGAATGTTCAACGTAAATCAATCGAAGTGCTGTAACAATGTACTCATGTCGGTTCTTTGCGTAACTGTCATTTACTCATTTTGTATTTCATTCGCGCCACGTTTGCATTGTTGTCTCCGCTTGAATATTTCATAATTTATTATATCATAATTTAGAATCCCTGACTTAGGCTGTACACCCTTCGTATACCCTTTATCAGTTGTATACCCAACTTATGGCCCGGTATACACTTGGGTATACCGTATACCCGGTTGAAGAGCACTGTCATAGACAACATACCAGAATTTCATCAGAGGATAATTTTTTATTTAGTAATGCATCAAAAAATAGTACCGTACTTCAAATACTTTATACTTCAAATGAAAAGTTTTAATAGAATATGTTTTTATAATGCGTCCATTGTTATCCATACAGAAATACATCATTAGGTATGTGACCTGACACCTATACAATTAGAACAAGCTGAACAGATATGATATGTAAAATAATACACCTACCAATATTCCAGCATAATTTTCATTCTCCACATAAGCATCATGAAGCCACACAAATTCCTCATGCTGCCTTACGACAGAATATTCTGACTTCTCGAATTCTTTCATCGTTGTCTAAAACATGAAAAAGGGTTAATTTCACAATATTAGGACAAATTTTTGTATTTTTTTTTTCAATTGTTCAAATTGTTGGTAATATAAAAACAATGCATGAAAAAACTAAAAAAGGTGGAAAAACGCGTAAGCATACACTCATTTCGTCTTCTCTAAAAAGATAAGAAAATGATTTTAATAAAAATGTGTAGATTAATGTAGTCCAAAGTTAAATTAGTCCTGAGTATCTCAAACTGGGCCCTTTATCCTCCTTAGGGGTATACCAAGTATTTTATAGAAGAGTAGGGGTGTTGAGAGTGTTTGAAGGGGGCCCTTGGCTCATCAAAGTTTAAGAATCCTTAAACTAGTCCAATGGTAAACTGTAAAAAAAAAGATTTGTACTTTGAATCAATGACAAATCATCATTACCCTGGTGTGAACAGTAAATTTAACTTTTTCTTTTTCACTGAGAGCATCAGATATATCAACAACAAGTGAGTTATCTGTCAGATCCACACTGACTGACCGCTGTGATTTTTCTCCTTCTTCTGAAAGCAAGTCAGGGCTGTCATCAAGTCCATCCTATGAAAAATAATAATAAATATTTAACATACTGACATATAGGCTAGAGTTCTTAAATGAATTTTAATAAATTCAGTTTTCAAAATTCAGAAATTGACTTTGTCAGTACAGCAGTATGTCTGTATGTATAGATGTACAAGACCACTGTTAAAAAGCATTCGAACTATCAAGACTATTTATCAGTTAATGATAAAATAAGATAACGCTGCTGTGCTGACAATGTCAGAATGCAGGAATGTGTAAATATGGAATTAAGTCTAAAATAAAATGACTGAATGAAGGATTCTGCATTTTTTTTAGATCTGTAGATGGGCAAACAGCAATTCTTGTAGAACAATTTCAAATTGTTAAGGTCATGTAGATCAACATTTTGAACAACTAGACACCATGAGAGTACAGTAGTATTGCGGTGAATAATTAATCAAAATATACCGTAGGGTAGCGTAATACAAATGAAAAATCTCACCATCATCTTTGCAAGTTATTGGCTAGCGTGGGGTTTTGGGTTCAGGAAATTACTTGAAGACTTCAGCATGCATGAGAAGATAAGTACTAGCTAAAATTTCCGGGTTCCCCTTGTTTCCGAAACAACACTGCCGGTATAAACAGCTCAAATTGCACAATTGACTGAATGAACAATACCGAATTGTCGAGCAAAACAACCAACAAATTTCTACCACATGAAGCGCCAGAGAACCATGAACGAATCCACATCACGTGACTCTCCATATGTAGAAAACGTGTTGCGAAACACCGGCAAAAAAAACAGAAATCAGCGGGCGCTCGAAGTTGTGCGCCGAAGGCGAGGGGTTTACGGTTAATAATTTTTGCCAGCAGTGTTTTGGTAACTTTTGCGTGAGCGATCAGCAAACTTGGTAGTAGACCTACCATTAATTCTATCTTGTTACTCTTTCAACTATTTTAGTGTAATATTCGGCACTGCTGGTCTCAGGTCCTCCACCTTCTGCTGTTCTGACCTTCCTGATTTCAAAATGACTGCGCAGTTTGTGCCACCAATAATCCAGGACAACCCTGATGGTTGGGGTCCAAGGCAAATCCCAGAGAAGTTCAAAGACATGCCATACCAGCCGTTCAGCAAGGGAGATCGTTTGGGAAAGGTATTGCGGACATGTTTAATACAGTATCTACATTTTAAACTTATTTTTGGGATTTATTAATTTCCCAGATTCTTCGCCCATATATTATGTCAGTGGCCCATGTGTATTGTTTTGTTTTTGCGAATGAATCGAAATGAGAATTATATATGTTCTGTACTTGTAAATTGTGTTTAAAGATTCTGATGTTTGTCATATGTACCATGGCGAAATTATTTATTATAACTTATCTCCAAACAAATTCAGAATTCGTTTTACTGTTTTAAGTGAATTTGTGCACTGTAATTAAGTTCAAATCTAAAATGTTTGAATATTGAACTTAAGAAATTGTCTGGAGGTAGAATGCAGAAATGTAAAATGTTCTAGTTTATGTCTGTATCTGTATTGTTAAATAATATATGCAACTTTCTGACTTTTATTTTCTGCTATAAAAGGTTTCTGATTGGAGTGGAACAACATACACAGATCGGCGGTATATGAATAAATATCACTCACAATTTGGTGGTGGAAGTCAATACTCATACTTCCATGATGAAGATGAAAGTAGCTTCCAGTTGGTGGATAATTCAAAGGTAAATACTGATTTTATTTATAGATTGTTTAAGAATTTTTTGTATTGAAATGTGGATATTAGGGCTATATTGAATATTTTTCCAGGCTGCAACTGAGTATATATATCATGGTTTTGCAGCTCAAAAATGTATCAGAGATATTTAACATAACATGAAGAAATTGTTCCTACAATTTCTATTTTACGATACCAGAGTTGTTATTCCCCTTTTTGTTACTTATCGATCTTAAGATCGGTAAGTATATTGATAGGTATTTGTCTGTCTGTCTGTCTGTCTGTGTGTGTGTCTGTTAGATGCACGCAATATCTCACGAAAGCGAGATTGAATCTGCTCCAGATTTTGCATGTGCATTCATCTTATCTCGGACCAGAAGCCTATTGATTTTGGGCGAATTATGTTGTATAATTAGCGAGTTATCAATCAATTATTGATATAGTGATCTAGATTTTTGTAAAGCGAGAGAATTTTGAAACCCGCCGAGTGTGTGTGTGTGCGATGCGCAGTGCGCAAGTTACAAGAGCGGATGAATCGAAACTGCAGTTTCTGTTTTGGGGGATCCCCTAACTATCGATCGATTGGTCTTCGGTTTCCAACCGATATTCTCGTTTCCATATTGTAACCATTTAACAAATAGTGTTTACTATTTAAATGGAATATACGAGTTTCAACTGTATTCACTCATCATTAGAACGGTGTATTTGAATATACTCAATGTGGTATGAATAACAGGGTAGTATTGTTTGAATAAAATACGAAAAATCAACTTCAAATCATGTGTATATACATCAGTTTATTATACGCTATTGAATTTTTCTTTAGATTCAAAAGCCTCCATACCAGAGGAATAGGATGCGATACAACCAGTTTAAACAGAGGCAGCAACGGCAGCAGCAGAGAGATGGTGCAAATCAAATTGGACAACTTCCTCTCACTAAATTGGAGAAAAGTAGAGAGCGAGATCGGCAAAGACTTCAACGAAAAATGCAGAAGCAATATGGTCAATCAAGACTACGATGGGGTAACAATAGATATCAGAATCAACAGAAAAGAAGAGATGCTTCTGTTAGAGTTCTGGAGGATTGGGAGGTTTGTATTATGCAATGATTAGTGTCTCATTATAGATAAGTCTGATCAGTTCAATCCTCACTCCCACTTGCCAAAAGCTTCTTTTTTTATAAAAATATTTTGATATGGAATTGGTTTTCAACCTCTTTGGTGTTTGTGCTAATGAAGTAAAGTAAATGGATTGCATTTTGTTTGTGATTTTACTATATATAACCCAATATTTATAACCTGCTTACAAGATATATTTTAACAAATTTACTCTTTGAATTTGAAAATAAATGAATTCAGGTCAAAGAAGAAATGGATTTCACTCGTCTTTCCAAACTCAAGCTTCCTGATATCGGTGAACCAAAGGATTTGTTTGTGTGTGGAGCTCTTGAGCAGTATGATAAATCTTATGATCGTGTCAGTGTCAAGGCAGAACGTCCATTGAAACGTGTTAAGCGGATCTTTCACAAGGTTTACAAAATATTTTTCACTTAGTTTGGATGTCTTAGTGTTTTGATGGAATTCCTTTTAAATCTTTGATAGTTAACTACATATTTTATTGGAAATTTAAAATATCTCATCTGATTTACTGCATAGTAGGAACTTATGATAATAGCAAATATGAGTTTTGTATGATGCACAAGTCATGACAGATTAATAAATTAACGAAATTTGGAATGGCAATATTAAAATATCAATATAGTATTTTTATAATCATGAATTTTAAAATGTTTTTTTTATTTAAAAATATACACTTAATAGGTTACAACAACAGATGATCCGATTATTCGAAGATTAGCGAAATCACATGGCAATGTATATGCTACTGATACAATATTAGCGACTCTGATGTGCTGCACACGATCCCAATATTCTTGGGATGTCATCGCCCAACGTGTTGGACGGAACAAACTGTTTTTCGACAAGCGAGATGACTCTCAGTTTGATCTTGTGACTGTCAGCGAAACTGCCAATGAACCACCGCAGGTATATTATCTTTCAGTATTTATCATATTAGCCAATATAAAATTTGGAACATGTCTTATGATGGATGGTTACAATGAAGAAAAAGGCATAAAAAAATGCAATGATTTTCTGAATGTAACTGAAGTTTCTAAGAATTAAAGAATCTCTGGTACATTTCATGATATTGTGCTCATTTTAAGTAGGTGGCAGAAGTCGTGTTCTAAATGACTATTGTATCAAAATTAAAAATACTAGACCAGCGGTTTTCAACTTTCAACAGTGGAATTCCAACGTAAAAAACATCCAGCGGCCAGAGGAATCCCTTCGTAATAGTTTAATTATCTTATGCAAAAAACATTGAATATTTGATTAATAATTGTATGAACTATAAATAGACCCCTAGGACACCGATGAGTCTCTGTTGATTACTACTGCGCTAACCCCTGTTTAAAATATTGCCTGATCTTACGAAATCGTTGAAACATTTTGACAATGCATCTTACTGAATCTTAGTGTCATTTTTAACAGTTTTTGAAATCAATTATTTTTGTATATTTAGGAGGAGAATACAATTAATTCACCAGGGAACTTGGCACTTGAAGCAACTTTCATCAATCATAATTTTTCTCAGCAAGTTTTAAAACCAGGAGAAAAGCATAAGTTTGGCAGTGCCAATCCATTTGTCCCAGGTTTGTTGAAAAATCCGTTTATGAATCCAATTTTAATTAGGGTTAATAAAAATTGAGAGACTGTTGCGAGTCATTAAATACAAAGACGAAAAATATAAATATTTTCCCATTTCATGACTGCTGCATACATTTGATATAAGTATTTGCCTGTACATAAGATTTACGGTTTTAAATAGTTTGGTCTAGGGTTATGCATTTACTAAGTGCCCAAGCTGAGACGAGCTGACGGAAAGAAACTATGTAACTTCTGTTGGGAGAAATATGCACACTGGTTAAAACTAAGAATTTTAATTTGTTAGGTCTCGTTCCAACTCTATTAGATATAGGTCTTTTCACAATTTCAAAATCAATACAATTATTAGTTCATCGGGTCTTTTATTTCTGAAATTTTCATTTAGTGTTCTGCAAGCAATTTATGATTTAAAAAGTTGTTTCGTGGAACAAGAAAGGTTGAAAATCACTGCACTATCTGTTAAATCATTATTCATAATTTTTATCAGATCAAGATGCCAGCAATGTTGCATCTGTAGCATATCGCTATAGAAAATGGGATTTAGGCAATAATATTGAACTGGTGGCTCGAACTGAACATGATGCTGTCATGACTACAACTGGAGGAGATACTTGTTTTATCAATGTCAAGGTTAGATTAAAGTTCAAATTTGATTTATTTTATAAAAATGCTGTCATTGTGTATATTCTGTTGAAATATCTGTTAGTCTGTTGTAATCTTCTGAATTAGGCAGGCTATGCTGAATAGAAGAAAGACTCCAGCCTATCTATCAGTATCTTCTTGTTAGAGCCTTGTTCTGCGTGAAGTTGGTAAACATGATGTGTTGCTTTTATAATTTGTAACAATATATAAGTAATAATGATTTCTACAAGTCATACATAAGCAAGAAAGCGATGCTCAAATATATGGACATAAAGTCCGAAACGCTGTAGTAGGGGTATGCAATCTGTCACAGTAGTGTAACGATACCAGCCGTCACGATATCATAAAAACTTGTTCCCCTAATGTAAAATTATACAGCACATTTTAGATAAAATATCAGATCTTACAGTAAATTTAGGAACAGATAAAAGCAAAAAAATCTTCAACCACTGGAAACTTCGAAGCAATTGGTCCATTAGTGAATGAGAAAAGTGATTTTTTCATAAGATAACAAGAAGAATAAGAATAACAACAACATATTAACAAAACGATCCATAGATTCACTTGGTCCAACAATCATTTTATGTAAAAAAAAAAAACGCTCAATATTTTTCCTTCCAGACACTGAATGAATGGGACAGTCGCAGCTGTAATGGTGTTGACTGGCGTCGCAAATTGGATTCGCAAAGAGGTGCTGTACTTGCCACCGAGCTCAAAAACAACAGCAGCAAATTGGCTAAATGGACAATGTCTGCTCTTTTGGCTGGGTAGGTGTCTTCCTTTCACATATATATGATGTTGCGCTAAATAATATGTATTAAATTTGGCCATATCTTATCACTTTGTCATATTTTACCGATTGAGGCTTTTTTTCTGTCACTCGTCACTGCGAATCTATCGTTTTTTCTAATATTTTATTATACAAATGCCATCACAGATCGGAGTACTTGAAGATGGGATATGTGTCCAGGAGAAATGTTCGAGATACGGCTAACCATATTATTATTGGAACCCAACAATTTATTCCAACTGAATTTGCAGCTCAGATCAATTTGTCATTGCCGAATGCATGGGGAATACTTAGATGCATCATTGACACTTGTATGAAGCTACCAGAGGGAAAATACCTTATTTTAAAGGTAATAATTGATAAAAATACAACTATATAATATGTAAAATTAGGAGAGATTTTTAGCATTCTGGGAAAGTTATTGGAAAAGCTAATCAACATCGGTAATTATTTGTAGATGTGTTTATTTTGAGAACATTAGGAATTAGTTTGGTTATTTTTATTGTCACTGAAATTCTCACTTCTGGCTGTAAAGGAATATTACAAATATTTTATCAAATCGACTTTGATTCATGTACAGGATCCCAACAAACCAGTTGTCAGGATCTACAGCTTGCCTGAGGGAACTTTCAGTTCTGAGGAAGAAGAGAGTGAAAGTGACAACGACAGTGATGAAGATGACGATGATGAAAGGAGAAAAGGCGGAGAACGTCGTTGACCGATTATTGCGGGTGGAATAAAATGAAAAAATTCTGCAAGCTGAATCAGTGATGTGCTTTGGTGTTTATTGCTAAACGGTGTTTGAAACAGAGAGAATAATGTAATAAAAGAGTGTTCATTCATGTAATTTTGTTTTAAAATTTTGTTCCTATAGGAATCACAGATTGGGAAAATACTGTATGGGTCAATTTGTTTGTTATACCTGAAATTCAATTGAGTATTGGAACTTGGAAGACTCTTCCAGCCCATTCTGTGAAAGTATTTTAGCAGTGAATCGGCAATCTATACTGCGCGAAAACCTTGATTGTTGATGGACTGCATCAGCACTAGGAAATGGTAGTGCCTAACGTCGACATTGCCTGCTTGCAAACATCCGTTGTCGTGATTTTGAGTATTATGACTATTACCTAACAGGTTTCGTTCATGATTCCAAATTTTGGCTAAAAATTAGACCCATATGGCCTATGTGAATATTCTGTTTTGGGAGTAAGGGGTAGTTGAATGTATCGAATATGGACAAAAATACTAATGTTGATTGAAATCATTTGCATGTACTTTTCAATGTGAGCTTCGCACTGTCTTGGATAATAGTTAATGAGTAGAGTTGGGGTTTCAGTGCCGAATTTGATCCAAATTTCATGAGAAAAATCCCATATGCATGCGAACAATTATTTTCGAAAATAGTTATTTTCAAAGTAAGACGGCTAAGTTGAGTTCACGAGTTATTGCACTCTTCGCGCGATGCTCAAAATTTCATCTGTGTGAAAATATTGTGATTCATCGGCCATATATATATTCTGTTTTTACCTTTCTAAAAATATGTGCGGCCCGCTAGGACTTGCAAACCTTGATTTTGGCCCCCAAACAACAAAAGGTTGCCGGTCACTGGGTTATGGCTTCCTCTGCCATCAAATCCATGCATCTGAAAACAACTAATGGCAATAATTTTGATGACGTCATAGCAAAAAAAAGTAATAGCCTTCTGAAGAAAATTTTTATCTTTAACCACTGACCAGCAAGAACAACATAAAAACAAAACGATCGTTATGTCCACTAAACGTGTCCAATTACTAGCTAACTAATCCCATACCCGTCATGGACTGGTAACCGGACGAGATGCTGTGGTTCGTCATATGATTAAACCGTCTTATCGGCTTTCTTCTCTCAGAGCTAAATTTGTGAAACTATCCTATCAGCGCCGCACAAATAGGAGCGCGTCAATATTTAGGGATCCCTGTGATTTTATTCTAAAAGGATCCAAGGGCTTTCAGCCTCAACCGACGTAGCCTTCGTTGTAGTTTTGAGTGCTGTAGTAGTGTAGTGCAATGCAGTGTTTCCCAAACTGTGTTCCGTGAGCGTCTTCGGTGTGTTCCGTGGAAATGGAATAAAAAATACGTCAAAAATGGTCGCCATGGCGATCTATGGAACGTGAAATGGCGCCCAAGACTTTTCGATATCGCGTCACCGTCGGCTTAGCTTGTTGACTATTAAGTTCATTATCAAGTTTACAGCAATCCTTTTGGTTATGTCATAGCCAAATAAGTAGGTCTAAAGCAGTTGTCGGCAAACTTTATGTACTTGCGGGCCAAATATCCAATTTTTCGGTTGCGTGCTGGCCGCATTAATTTCCCCCTATGTACAATCGCCACATCTAACTTCAAATTATAGCGCACTCGTACCTTCTATTACTGTGTTAAATGACTGCCACAATGAGACGTGTATGTGGCCTTTTTTATATATTTTATCAAACAATACATTGTTTTTATTGAGTTATTAACATTGTGTAGGATGATGTTGTTTCTGTGTTCAGGCCAAAGCGGCAACTTCATTGCCCCTCAGTCCGATCTGACAAGCGAATACGCAATTTATTCTTAGTGTAATACCTTTTAAATAGAGCTGGTCGCAGCTAGAGTTTTGTTTTTTATCAATTCTAAAAAAACATCGTGTTTTAAAACAAGGGCTTGTTTTAAATCAATTTTTTTCTGTATTTTTTTTATTGAAATACCTCTTGTATCGCCGCTAAACTACGCCAAAACGTTGCATTCTGGCAGCTGCAAACGCAGCCAGAATTATAATTTCAAAAATGTAAGTAAAATTTTTTATTTTGACTTTTACTTCTATTGCGTACAATTATTTTGTATCTCCTACACGTTTGTATCTCCATCAAAGTCATAAGATTTTACCCGGAATGTTTAGCCGAGATATCAGAGAGATGTTTTGAGTAAGAAAAATTGACATATTGACATTTTCCCCATAAAATGAAGGCATTATTACGGATAATACTGTTCGGTTAAATTTATGTTTAGCATACTTTGTTTTTAAGGTTGAAGTGATAGAGTTTTTCAAAGTTATACAAACAAATTTATTCGATCGCATTTTCAATTTTCGCAAGGTGGTTTCATCGCAGCAGGGTCGTTCACGTAATGGCTTATCGGTTGCGTCTTATTGCGCCAACCATTGAACTACAGCTTGAGAAGGTGTGCATGAGCCTCTATCGATAGTTGTGGCGTTTTGAAAGATTTATTGCAAATAATAAGCGCTTGGCAAGTTTTTACATCTATTTTTCTTCAACATATTTAATACAAAAAAAAATCAAATAGTACAGCCATTTTGAACAAAACAGGCAAAGATATTTGATATAAAACAATTCTTTTCGAACAATTCCCTAGTCGCCGCACTATGTGCTTTCGAAGTGCATACTTTACGTTTTACACTGTCGCACGATGAGCAGTGGCGCAGCCCCGGGTCGAATTTTAACATTGGATACCTTAATAATTGCGATGCTGACCTTGCATATCAAGCAAACTGGTTTTGAAATGCGCGAGAAAGAAATATGTTTTTTATCCTCCAAGCACTTTGTAATGTTCGGCCCCCGTCGCAAACTTCCCTCCGTTTCCCAGACATTTTCAAATTTTAAAAATCAAAATAAACTTATAATTACAACCAATGATGGGACGTTCATCAAGTAAATGACTTACACCGGCGCTACTTGCTATAAAACAAGAGACGTACAGCGGCACTTGTTACCACATAAATCCACTCGTGCTTCGACGGCCGACCAGAAAGGACGTGTTCGTGTGGGGCTTTATATTTCTCCAATCGGCGGTGACCTTGGAAAGAGGACAAGACAAGGGAAGTAAACATTTATTATTTTGTTTAGTGGGCGCATACTTACATAACGTTACCATACCTCACTTTTTAACATGAGTGATGTTGGGAACGGTATGGAAGGTATTGCATCATCAAAAAGAAAGATAATTGAGAGTGGGAATGGCAATGGTATTGAACCTTCGAGTAAGATAAAGTCGTCGGTGGTGTCTGACGAAAATCATAATCAGACTAAAAGTAATGTTCTAATCAAGGGTTCTGCTAAACCTATGCGTACTTACAATCCAATCAAAGTTAATTCATATCTGATTTCGCTAATTGGGAACTATGGCAATGCTAAAATACTATCATCTGGAGATCTATTAGTGGAAGACCTATCTCCGGAACAGAGCAAAGCCCTGTTAAAATGCGATAAACTAGGTTCTGACGATGTAAACATTCCAATTAAGGCAACGCTTTTTAATAAACGGGCCCTATCGACGTTGTGTAATCAGTGGGGTGCCTGATGATATATCTGACGAAGAAATTACAGAGGCTCTCAAATCACAATATGTAACGAATGCGAGACGATTTCAAATTAAGGGTGAAGCAGGTATGAAACCATCATCTAGTGTGCGCCTTGATTTTAGGACTACACGCGTTCCTGCTACAATCAACTTGTTTTACATGAGATTTAGAACGAGAAGCTATAATCCCCCACCTATGAGGTGTTTCAAATGCCATCGATATGGCCATGTGGCCAATAACTGTATGAGCTTCCAGCGTTGCGTAAGATGCGGTGGTCGCCATAAAGCAGATGAATGTACCAGACAACCAAAATGCTGTAATTGTGGTAAGCCCCATAGTGCCGCATATGGCGGGTGCCAAAGGTATAAAGAGGAAGCCAGGATTCAAATAGTTAAAGACAATATACCATACGATCAAGCTAGAGAGAAAGTACGAAAAGCTACACTAACACATACATCATTCAGGTTTTCTTCTGAACAGTTTCCTACTTACCATCAAAAAAATGTGGTAAATGAAACTATTCCAGTTCAACAAAACGCTTATAGTGCCAGTAGTTTATATAATAACGTCGTTACAAATTTATCTTCAACACAGAATGTACATAGAGCTAGGGATTCAAAAACAAATACTGTACCCACACACCCTGTGCCAAATGATGCAGAATCTTTGCATGTACCAGATTCACAAAATATCAGCAGCCAACAATGTAGACAACAGATATCTATCGATCCATTGCAGTTTTTTGGTTTCATAACAGAAGTTTTAAATACCACAATTATAGCCTTATATACAGGAAAAAGTATTGATGTTGCTTCAGTAGTCTCTGAATCCGCCGGGAATCTTTTTGGGTATGGATTTGAATCTAGTGTCCTAAAAAACTTGCTTAATCGATGTGAAAAAACGCAATGTTCCTCAGAATAATTCAGTGGAATTGTAGAGGAATCTATCGAAAAATCCATGATTTTAAAAATTATATTGCTTCACTTTCTGATGTACCAGATATAATACTGATTCAGGAAACTCATCTGATCGCACGGTATGAACCTCGTCTCCATGGATACACATGCTTTCGAAAAGATAGAACTGTGCATGGGGGTGGTATTTGTGCTTTTGTTTCAAATTCACTCAACTTTTCTGAGGTTAATTTACAACCTCCAGACAACGTAGAGGTACAGTGCATTATGATTAATGGATACAAAATTGTTAATCTATACATGGCCCCTTGGTTGAGTTATATGTGAAGACGAGATCACACGATTTTTTGAATCTTTTCAACACAAAGCTATTATATGCGGTGATTTTAATTCCCATCATCCCATGTGGAACTCAGGAAACTCTGATATAAGAGGAAGAATGATTTATAATATCATTGATCGTATTAATCTTGTCGTGCTGAACACAAACACCCCGACGAGAATCAACATATCACAAAATGCCCAGGCCACGAGATGGTCCCTTCTTGACTTCACTTTAGCATCCAACGATATAGCACTCAAATGTACTTGTGAAGTC